AATAGATAACTTCACAATTATTATTGTAAGCGCGTAGTATTCCTTTATCTAACCAATTCCTGTTAAGCCCCGTTTAATTTAACCGTTACTCAAACCATGACAAGCACGAGCGTTTAGAAATGTAGTTATGATTTGCTCGTGCATGTTTTTCTGGGTTTGTGGTCTTTAACAGTACAATAATTGATTATTTTTTAAATATCTCTCGAGTTTTAAGAATCTTTGTTAATTGTTACCGGTCGTTGAATAATTAATGAATAACTTTTGCTATAATTTTTCTTTATTTTTTTCTCATACGTGGAAGAAAATAAGACTGCATTATTCCATTCAATAATATGCATTATTATGAAGATATGTGACATACTTGTTAGTTACTAACATAATATTTTACAGTGGTCTAGGAATATATGTTCCTGGGGCTCCTGGTTACTCTTCAGAGCTTTTTACTAATAATTACTATACAAATAATTATTAGTAAATATATACTTCAAAATTAATTCTCATTAAATCAATACAGTTTGACGAAATGCCATTTGAAATAGTTGTTAGAATTTGATGGGAACTCTAATAAATACAGAACGTTTGCATAAAAAATTAAAAGCAAAATTGATAGGTTACTGGTTTCATGTTCTCCGTTATGGAGATATTTATTTATCAAAATACCAGCTACAAGCCCGTCCATGTGTGCTGTTGAGAGCGTTTGTTAATAGCTAGACCTTATTACTATAAAATTATTTAAAATTTGATGGGGTTTATAAAATTGTCCGCTATAGAGAAGTGTCCGATAAAAGAGAAGTTTCACTTAATATTGTAGTCTTCTTCCCCATCCCAAATTGAGACATAACGACGCCCATGGGTATTAGAACTATAAAAACTTATTAAATAATTTAGAAAAAAAAACTAACATAAGTAAATAGTACAATTAAATAGCAATGATAGCCAGTACCCCACCCTCAACCAGTTCCAGTAACCTATTTCTCACCTATAGACCCCACTCCGCCCAGTCATCGTGTAATACTTTTTCTACCACCAGTAGTGTGTTGAGCTGTTTTTTTTTTTTTTTTTTATTCTCTCATTTCCCCAGCTCAGTTTTCCCTTTCGTAGAATTTTCACTGACGGAGCGAGGAAAGTGAAGATGACGTACAAATGGATAATGGGCATAAAGAAATCGAGAAAAAAAATTGAGACATAAGATGACAACGAAAGCTTTTTCTTTTTTTGGATATTTTATGAATAATGAATACTACTTTTTTTGACAGTGACTAAACATTTTAAAAATATATTATAATCATGCCCCAAAAAAAAATCAACACAGTCCATTGTCCATTTCGTAGAAAATGAATTTTATGTTGTAAACAAGGGTGATTACTGAAAGAAAAAAAAAATCGTCCGTATAATTACCTCAGTCGTGAAATGTGAATAATAAAGGCTTACCTTATTTTGAAATCACAATTCTTCGTCTCGTCAAAATTGAAAACTATAAAAAAAATTAAATCTGGATAAACAAATCGATAAATATTAAATTACAAAATAAAATAACTAAATAAGAATTAAAAATAACATGAACGTGATTAATTAATACAAATACATATTCGTAACTTGTATATAAATGGTAAGTGGAAATTTTTTTTGTCAACAGATTATTCATCTTAACATGTTAACAACATAATAAAGAATAAAAATTCATCATTTGATCATGCGAATAATTAGTATGGTATAATGTTGCCATTGAATGTCAACATGACGTGATAATCTGAAAATTCAAGTATTTATTGATAAAAAGTATTTTTTGTAGTAAGAATGGTGGTTAGGGGAAATATTATATTACGTTGTAAATATTTAAGTCGAATTTTAAAACAAATATTAATTTACAGGTTTATTTTAATTTATTACAGATGAAGTCAATCTTTAAATGATAATGATTTTGATGATAAAAACATTGAATAAATAGAACACTGAAAAATGTAATCCGTATTTATCTGTATGTATCTGTATTTTGACAATCAGCATGATAATCATGTGATTTTTTTTTGTCAACAGATTATTCATCTTAACATTTTAACAACATAATAAAGAATAAAAATTCATCCTTTGATCGTGTAAATAATTAGTATGATATGATGTTGCCATGACGTGGTAATCTGAAAATTCAAGTATTTATTAATAAAAAGTATTTTTTGTAGGAAGAATGATGGTTAGAGGAATTATTATGTTACGTTGTAAATATTTAAGTCGAATTTTAAAACAAATATTAATTTACACGTATATTTTAATTTATTAGAGATGAAGTCAATCTTTAAGATGATAATGATTTTGACGATAAAAAGATTAGATAAATAGAACTCTTAAAAATGTAATCCGAACCTTTATGGTAATAATGCTAGCACAGTACTGTAAAGTTATAAATAATATAAAATTTACAGATCGTATTAGAATGCCATCAAAACATACATAAGATATCTTCTTTGATTACGGAAGGCGCATTAGTTATACTATGGCGCATAACAAAGCATCCAACAAATGTTGGGCGTATTAGTAGGGCGTCATTTCTGGAGGAACTGAATTACGTAAGGGAAACTCTTAAATATCAGGACAACTTAATTTTCTCTGAAAAATTAACATGACACTTTATAATGGATATTTAATGGAAGACTCAATAAGACATGAAAATGACCCTAGTGATGGTCGTAATAAAATAACTAATAAATAAAATGTTGATGAGTAATGGCCTAATTTATATAACAAATAAAACTTCAAGACACTAATTCTAGGAATATTGTACAGAATTAATTTCTTACATTTGCGGATAATTAAAAAAAACATTTATATTGACTTCCGCAAATTGTTTTCAGAGTTCTCCGTGGTATTCAAATTTCAAGATATTCTTCTTCTTCTTTATCTTCCTCTTCGTGCCATTACTAGCGTCGAGGAGCCTCAATCCAATGCAGCCATGCCTCTCGGTCCCTACTAAGCTACCTCATTTCCTGGAGGGTTTTGCCTCTCTTCTCTCCAATCCGCTGTATATACTCCTGATAGGAAATTCTGGGGCGGCCCCTCGGCCTCCTCCCAGTGGGTCGAGCTTCAAGAATCTTCCGCGGATCTCTCTCCTCCTCCATCCGACAAACGTGGCCAAACCACATCAACTGTCGGTTTTCCAGTACAGTCCTTAGCTCCGCCACCTCCAGGTCCTTTCTTATGCGTTCATTTCTGAGGCGGTGTCTCCTGGTCTTTCCAGTAGCTCTCCGCTTTCTTCATAATATTTTTTTAAGATATTTCCATCTTTAAATTGAGATTTTCAAGGTTCAAAACAATTGTAATAATTGGTTTTTTTTGGACAATATCTTTTTCCCTTTCCGACTTTCTAAATCGGCGTCACATCAAAATATGATTTGGAATTGCAGTTAATTAAAAAGACGATGAAATGTTGAATATGATTTTTCTGTAATATTTTAATCCAAATGCAGAAATCAGTCGACTCGAGCGGGCTCTATCTGAATGAGCGTTACAGCCGTGCCTCAGTCTCATTGAATGCCTCCAAAATAAAGTACTAAGCGCTCCTAAAGACGTTTTCACATTTTAAAAAAGTAGAAGAAATAGTTTTGATTTATATCATTTAAAAGGAATTTTCAAGTGGCTAAACTACACAAGTTTTTCCGTAAAACCATTGGTTATTATATCTTTTGTTGCTTATTATGTATTTTATTTTATTATTTATCAACCTTCAACTGAACAACATAGTCCGTGGTACAGACCCCTTTTTATCGAATTATTAATATCCGCCTGAAACTTCGTAAATAGTTTCCACTCATAGTAACCTACAACTATTTTATTTACGAAAACTCTTGGAATTGGGGCGTTTTCAATCTGGATAGGGCAAAATTGATCTATTTAATTAGGTACTAAAAACTCGTAAATACTCATTTGTTTTTCTACTTGGATAGTAAGATAATTTCATCACAAAATAGAGAAAAAAGGTGGCCTTTAAAAATATTGAGCCGTTTGGAGTTACCTACACCACCAAAATTTCAAAATAACGAGGACAAACGGCACAATATTTTTTAGGCCACCTTTTCTATCGATTTGGTGATCAAATTATCTAACGATAAAAGTAGAAAGCAAATGGGTATTTACGAGTTTTTAGTACCTAATTAAATAGATAAAGTTTGCCCCTCTCCAGATTGAAAACGCCCCAATTCCAAGAGTTTTCGTAAATAAAATAGGTGTAGGTTACGACGAGATGAAAATACTTACGAAGTTTCAGGCGGATGTTAATAATTCGATAAAAAGGGGTCTGCACAACGGACTAATAGATTACATACTTTTCGAAAAAATATCCTTTTTTATTAAGATCTAAGTCTATCTTAATTAGATTGAGGTCTGTTAAAGAATAACCTGATAATCGACTTCATTTTTGCAAACGATTGCGCGAATGTGAAGTTCTGTCTCGCCAAAATATTTTATTTTATTTTTCTGTGATCTGGTGATAATTTAAATAAATTAATCACTACAATTCCGAATATTTAAAATAATTACATATGTTACCAATATGATTCTAATGTTAATTAAAAAATATTATTTTTATTGCTTACAGTGCAAATATGTATGCACACAAACAACAATTCATCTGTAATTTCATCTTATTATATGAATATTTAGAATAGCAGTTTATTTTTTATTATAATGCTACACAACTTTGTAACCTAATTATTATTTATCAGCCATTATGTGCCAGATAAATATATATTATAATGTAATTATTATTGTACATGTTTGTTATTAGAAGTCCCAGAATAAAATTACTTTCTTCTTCTTAAAATACACTTTTTATTTATAAAAGATACTTAAGATAATTTATTTAATTATTAATGTGAGTTATACAAAATGAAATTATCTTATAAAAAAGTAAAAAAAAATTAAAATATTTTAGTAATTAACTTATAATAATAATATTAATATTCTAATGAAATATTAAAATATAATATAAATTATTACAATGAATCCTCCACCAATCGGCAGCTGCAACGACCTTCATGTAGTCTATTTACCATTTAATCATATCTTTAAAGGATTCTTCGAACGAATGCTGCTCGTTAAAAAAATAAATATTTAATCATTCTCACTCTAATATAAATAAATATTTATTCACGTTGGGGCGTAGGTTCCAGAATGTCCGATTCTATACGTTGTGGGTTCGATTCCCATCTGGTTCGGCTAATATTAAATTCTTGCCAGACTTGGGAAAAAAATCTTGACATTCCCACTCAACTAAGTACGCGGCGGCAACCTCAAGGTAGCCGTCAGGGGTTGGCCAAAAGGATTGGACCCACTTGCTGCCCAAGGTTTTCCCACCAGTAGCAGTACCAGGATGGCATAAGTTGGCTAATTGTTCATATCTTTTAATCTACGTATGTTCTTTGGCGGACTATCGAAGCAAAGGCCTTTATTATAGCAGCGAACTCTAGCTCGAAAAAGTTATGGGTGAGAAAAGTTTCATTAAAATATACTTTACAGTATCATTACATATATACTAATTGTGATAATTAAATATTGTTATTATCTTAACATTCTTTATTTATTTATTTTTAATGTTTACTTTTCGACTACCTATTATAGGAATTGTATTTAATTTTAGGAGTGAGTATATTTCTAATCATTGTTTGTTTCATTTGTTACGACTATTTTTAATAATCTAATCTTTTTTGGACAGAATTAATCTTAATTTTTGTGTAAAAAACTGCCATTTTTACTCAAACCAACGGACATTGTTTCAGATTTAAGTTATCAGACATACATGGATTTTATTTTATTTACAGAAGAAATCTCTCACAAAATAAATAAATTTGTTTGAAATTCAAATATTTTCATAGTAATTGTCATCATCAGGGAGTGGGGTAGCTCAGCGGCAGGGTACTGAGCTTACAATGCTTAAGGATCCAGGTTCGAACCCCGGCTCATGGCAGAAAATTTATTTATCTGTTTCATTGGCCGTGGGGTGACCCTGGGTCGGGAGACCCTCCTGGGGCACACCCAGCCTCTATAAAGTGGGTACCCTTAATTAAATAATTGATTAAGGGAGGAAACCTGGCGGTTGATCGTGATCTCGGTCAAACCACCTCCTTGCACAACCGTAGACCTAGAAACAGTGCTTTCCCTAAATAGTACTGAACCCAAGACCGTTTATGGGTTGCAGTGGTACAGAAAAAAAAAATACAATTGTCATCATCATGGACCGTAATTGTCATTATCGTAATTTTATGTTATGGATCTTATTAGGTACACATTAGAGATGTAACAAGACTAATATGTATTGGTAATATGGCAAAATAATATTAGTAATATTATAGGTAATCATTGCCGGCTTCAGGGTTAGATTTTTTGAGCCCGAACCTAGTACGATGTCGAAACTTTTTGGAACCATAAAATATTTATAGATCAATTGAATTAGAGACATATTACATGAAATAAAGTTAAAATATAAATTGATGTGCAATATCATTCATTTCCCCTCCGTAAATTACATTTGGTTTAAGACAGGGAGCTCTAAGTCTGTCACAACAGGTAATAACGGACTCGACGTAACTATCAACAGCCACTTAATTACGAGCTAGTAAATAGTGTGAAACGCGTTGGTTGGCAATCTGATAAACTTAAGATCACGAATTCAATTCCTGATACAGGGAGCTTTCAACAACGGCATTGATTCCCCGCCCTCTCCCGTGGATTAGGAAAACGCCACAGAGGCGAAAAGGAATGAAGGAGAGAGAGAAAAAAAAAGTTAAGTTAGTGTATAGCAGACATATATGAAACGTAGATTCATTAAACAAAGATTCATTGTCAGTGTGAAAATAAATGAAAATTTAATAAAATAAGTTTTTAATTTATTGTTAGAAAAATTTTCTGAAAATTATATTATATATAAACTGATATTTCTGCTCCAAGTTAAGGATGTGTTTCTGATATTAGACATATGGCGTTTTTGAAGCAATAAAGTCAAATATTAATAAAAAAAATAAAATAATTATTAAGATAAAACAAATAGTAAAGATATTCAAATAATAAATAAACTAATAATAGTAAAGAAATTAAAAAATAGACCCCTAGATCTACTACCCTTAGGACCATGTACCCTACCCCCGGCGTCGTCCTACTTCGCCCCCTCCCAGCTACTATAAGAGCTTGCGGACCTCTCATCCCAGGCAGAGATGGTGCTCATCCTATTCGGGCTTCTGGGCTTCCTATCCGGCGCGACGGCCTGCGTCGGCAACTCCTCCTTCAGCTGCATCAAGTCCAAGCTGGGCAAGGCCGTATGGAGGATCAACGCCATTCCAGGTTAGAAGGAGTATGGTAACTTTAGGCTGGTGAAGTGTCTGTGTGGCTGGGTAGGCTCGGTCTCAAGTTTTCCTTAATACTTCAGATAATTGCTATACGGGTACAGAGCACAGCCGTTCTGTATCAATTATTGTGGAATAGGGACCATAATATACAGTGAAACTGCTCTTAGCGGACATCTCTTACTGCGGGAAATTTTATAAACCTTGTGAAATGTTCAAGAATTTTATAATACCTATTAAGGTCAGTCCTATCCCTAGTAACTGCGCGAGCTCACTGTAATGTGCAAACGCGGTTTAACAGAAATTTATAGCAGACAAAGAAATGCTACACACCTTCAAAAATAGTGAACTTAGTTATTTTCGTGCACTTGTTAATGCAGAGTTCTAAGATTAAGTTATTTTGTGCTTATACTGGACCCTGAACATACGGGGCTATTCAAAATTTTGATGAAGACAAATGGGTCCACTTCAAATGTTCGAGAAAATCTATCTTCACCGTTCCATAGGCATCGACGTCTTTGATACAGAGATGCGCGTTCAAATGAGTAACTCAGGATCCCAAAGCCTTGAAACTTTCATGTAGCATTAAATAACCAAAAACTTTTATTTTTCGACGATGCAGACATCAGCGATACTTAGAAACATAAATTACATTAATGCAGACCATTTTAACTTTACCTTAGGTGTTGAAGTGGGATGTGCTTTCTATAGCCTACAATAATGTAATCATATTTTCTAGTTCTAGTGATGTATGCATTGGCGACTACATAGTTATATACTAATAATTTAGTTAGCTGAGGCTTGTTTTGGAATTTTCCAACAACAACTGCAATAAACGGGAAAATATTAGAAATTCTAAAATAAATAATTGTCAAAATCCTAACCAATTAATATAATAAAGGATGGAAATTACATCACTTAAATAAAAACGGGATCGAGCTGCACATAGTATTTAATTAACAAACTACAACATAACTCACCAGACCAAGATAGCAGATAGATATAAAGATATGATAAGAGTTCTTTTTTCTTTTAAATGCTTATGTTTCACAATAATATTTTTCTTTAAGTATTCAAAAGGAGTTAAAAATTATTAATAAAGTATCAAAAGTGATTTTTGGAAAACAGTTTATTACAATATAAGGAACATCAGCTCAAAATCATATTTTCAACTGATTATTCCTTGATAAATACATTAAATAATAAATTTGTCATATCTCACATAATACAAGTAAAGAAAACTACGGAATTATATTTTAGTAAATTTGACATAGGGGGGAGTAAATAAAAAAATATATAAACTGATACAGATTTAGTTTCTATACTTTTGGTTTATTATTTTCAATAACCAACATTTATAATCGACCAAGAATTTAATTCATAGTACAACTCTTAACTATTTATAAATTGTATATGTGCTTTCAAACTTCTCTTTGTATATAGAGCCATAAGACTTTTCATCGCCTACCGTCAATATATACATCATTTTTGAACTGTGAAAATATAATATTAAAAATTTAACCTATTTTTATAAAATTCATGGAATTATAACTCGCCTGCAAGTTGCAGAAGTGATGTTTTTTATATTCGATACAACTAAAATATTTATTTTTATATTTGTAAATATCTATTGCATTATATATATATTTTATTATTATGTATATATTTTTTAAACTCTATTATTATTCTAGGAGGACTTTAGGCCTAGAATAAAATAAAATTTTTATTTATTATTAATATTATAAATTCTAATATGAATCAGAATCTTTTTGAATGTTTCTAACTATTTTAGAAAACTGTACTTTAATTGCAAGAAATATAAAATACGATTAAATTAAAATAAGTATCCTTTTAATTATAATTGTAACCTGTACTTACAATTACTAAGTTTTACTCAGCTACCTAAAATAAAATATTATTTGAATCAATAGTAAAAAAAGTATAAATAAGTAATTTATAACTGAAGTAGTTAAATACATCTTTAGTTATAAATGCACATACTCAGATATAGTGATCAGAACATTCTAGATTCAAATTGTTCTCAATCTCTCCAATTGTTATGTACACTACAAGATTTTTGCAAAGATATGTTATATAACATATCTATAGATATAAAAGATATTACATATATGTTGCATACATTGGAATCCGTCGACCTTTAACCTGTTCTTGTTAATCACAGCTGCTCTAATGACCTCGTGAACAACAATGTAAACACATAGGGTGACTCCATCACAAGCCACAGACATGCCACATTCGGAATCATGTTTACGAATTATATAATTTTATATCCTTATGAATGTTATTTATATATATTAAAATTTAAAATTTTGTTTAAAGATATTATTTAAAATCCGAAATTCAGTAAGTAAAATAATGATAATAAGTGACATTTATATTAAATTTTAATGACAAAATATTAGCATGTTATAAAGTATTGATCAAGATCATAAATATATATATATATGATGATTTACTGAAGCTATTATTATGACAAAAACAATCAATAATCGGTCTGATAAATTAGATTATTTTATCAGTTTCATAAGGTCTAGAAAAATCCCTGAGTTTCACAATAATTTGTTTTACACATAGTTCAACCATATATGTAATACAGTTCAGGATAACCATAAATCATATACTTTATCATATATCTCCGTTCTCATGACAATTAGATAGGAATGAAATCCCAAAATTTGAATATCATGTTAATAATTATGTATATTAATAACTAGCCATTCCACACAATATCACTTTCCCTGTATTTGGATTAGCTATTATTTTTACGAATAAGCTATATTTGAAACTATTAAAAAAAAACTTCCAACACTTTTAGCACTAAATATATTTTTAGTTTTTGTTTCCTACATAGTCTGTGAGAAAAAAATATATATATCTATATATACATATCTTATAAAATATATATTCTTTACTTGAATCGACTCAATTATACTTGGAAGCTTGTCCTTACTCATCAAAGTATTTTACGTGACGTGATAGCGTAATTGCCAGTAGTTTTCTTAATTCATAAACATTTATCTTTATTTATAATCAATCATCTTACCTTAATTTATAAATATTTATATATTATCTTAATTTATATACACTGCTTTGATCCGATGGATTGTAGCTTGATATTAAAAAAAA